AAACGCTTCGATGCAAATCTTTAGATAGTGTTTAATTTTAAAAAAATTGGTGTTTTATTCCAAAAGCTACTTGATCTGCTGGTTCCTTATTAATATCTCGATTAAGATAAAGTATGTCGAATGAAAAAGGGTTTATTAAAAAATATTATTTCTCATAAAAAAATTGTGTGGATCCATAAACTTTTCAATAAGTTATAGCATTATAAAGTTAAATATAATATAAATAATAAAATCGAGAATTTTCACACGAAAATTTATAGACTAAAATAAAATTTTAGTCTATAAAATTTCCAATTATAAAATACACACAATTATTCATATAGAGTTAATAAATTAGTTATAAAAATCTGGTTAATTGTTTTTTCGATCTTCAAAGTTTTTAGCAATGTTAAAATACTAAATTAAAAATAATAAATTTTACATATTTGTAAGATTGATCTTTTTTTCGTACAAATATGAATACTATTTATTACATATATTTTAAACAGAACTATAGAATATTTGTTTTTTTAATCATTCAGAAGTAAACCAAAATGTCTTTTAAAATAATTCCACTCAATATTTTAAAATTAATATTGAATTTGTTGAAATATTTTATAGTTTCAGTAAAAATAAATTTCAGGTACCTATTTAATAGGGATGGTATTTCAAAACTATTTAGTTTTTCATAATAAACGTTAACACTTTAAGCCATGTTTCTTATTGTCATTTTTGTATACATATAAAAATAAATAAAACTTACAATTTTATTCTTAAATTTGTAATTTTCTTAATTGGTTTGATCAGACAAGTTTAAATAAAATAATTTTATTATGGACATTTTCAAATTTATATAATTTAAAAAAAGTTTATCTATTCGCAATAAATAGTATTCATTGTTATGTTAGTCTAGTAAAATGATTGGTTATTATTGAATAAGTTACTATTATTTTTTTAGCATAAGAGTTTGGATGAATTAAAAATAGAAAAATTAATTTAATTAATTATTATTTATATATAAATTAATTATTATTTTTTAGATACTGTTAAATATAACAGTTGCTCAAGATCTTCTTGTCATAGTAAGTGTGTTGTTTGTAGTTGAAATAAATTTCATTAATATTAAAATGGTTCCTCAATTATAGATAATGGAAAATTTAAATATTTACCCAATGTTCAATATACATATAAAAACGCAATCAGGATCCAAACGACGTTTGATAAATCGAAAAATACAGCATCCATCGCAGAATTTAATTTTAAAGTGCATTTACATATTACTCAGTGTGATGGAATCTTAAGTGTAAGATATGAATCATGATTGTCGTAGAAATCAATCGTATTATTGATTTTTTATACTTATAATACAAATAATAAAATTAATTAAATTTGTGTAGATTAGTGAAACTAAAATTCATAAGGGAGTAAAACATAGAAACTCTTATACTGCCGAAGTAGAGGAAGAAGATATTTTAAATTTAGACGACGATCTTAGATATAAAGACCTCGAAGAACATATGTTACGGTATGTTATGTCTAAAATATAATATGCTTATAAAAATCTACTGTATATTATTTAGTAAATCCTTGTTTAAGACGACGTTTGGGAAGGTAAAAATGACAAACTTAAAAGTTCTTAAGGGTGGTAATTTAATGTATGGGAGTAAATAATGGTGAGCTATAATTCTTCTTTTCACACTATCTTCTAAATTAATAAGTGATAAGTAAAAAAATGAAACTTCTTGGTGTGATAAAGTTATGGTACTCTTTAGTCAAATCTTTTATACGACTCTGCTGGTCTATAAATTACTTAAGTCTCGTTTCAAATTTTGAATGTTGACTAATATAAATACATAACTGGTAAAATAAATCAAATTTTAGATTTTCATTCCACGATGGTCATATCAGTACTGTTTGTCCAGATGATGGTGAATCAGAATGGGCATTAAATATAAAAAAGGGTATATTATCAGCTTTCCAGAATCGTATGGAACGATTTGATATTCATCACAATGTAGCAGAGGTAAATAAAATATTCATATGAAAAACATAAAAATAATGAATATGTAATTATTAAGTTTTTAGTTACAATATTAATATTTAATCTCTAAGTGTAATGTTTTAGAGAGACGTTAATGGCTTTTGTCCAACAACATATTCTTTTCTGAAATCAAATGGTACTCAAATGATTGTAGATAAAGTAAAAGACATTTCGGAATGTACAGAAAGATACCAAATGCATTCAATAATTCCTACCTCATCATATGTGTTTCAAAGCGTAAGTATTGATTATAAATAGTTAATCATACACTAACAGGACATCTCGTATAATTCACGATAAAGAAATCTTCTCTTATATCTCCTAATGGCCTATAAGAACGTAAAAAATAAAAATCATACACAAATAAACTAGTTACATTACAAACATGACTAGTTATAAAATATTTAGTTATTAATAATTTACTGGGCTCTTTTTTTTTTTGTGGAAATTTAAATACATGGATAATAATAATTGAATCACTAATATTCATTACTTTTATAGAAATACCATAAATGGTCACCAGTGAAATCTCTTATTGTTTGCTATCATTACATTGATCATCATATAATTGTTAAGATAGATTGTCAGGAAAAACATTCTTTTCAGCCATTGGCTAGTAATGAGACTAATAGTGCAAGAACAAAAATATTCCAAACAATGGAGTTGATTAATGAAAAATATGTGTACTCGTCTGATGAATGTAACTATGCCATTTATATATATATATAATAAAAAATATGGTAAATCAATCGAGACTTGTTTTATTTTTTTGATACTCTTGTTATCGATAGATTACTTCATAGACTTATTATATTATACCTATACAGTGACTCGTAAAAGCGATAACACTTTTCTCGTCATTGACTTAATAATTGCATTATCCTTTTTTCGAAATTGTATATTTTTTTTGCACTTTATGGTGTATTATTGGCTTTAAAAGCTATTATAGTTATTATACTGACTCCCCGATTAAGGATAGCTAGAGAAGAAGATAAGCCTGTCAATAATTTTGTGATTTGTTTAATAGCATATGATATAACATCAAGACAACCATTGCTATTTAACCATGTTTTAATTATTAATCCAGACTCTACAAATACCGAAGAAACGATGAGAGTTCTTAAGGTTTTATGCCGTATGAGTGAAGTAAGTAAATATGAAAACGTTAATATTGAGTAAAATATTTCTTTTTAAACTGATTTTGTTAAGGGACAATTTAACCCCGATTTTCCTAGTGAATTTTATCAAGTTATTCAAGCTGCTAGAAAATTAACTTATGGTGGTTTGAAAAATGTATACGATAGTACACGCAATGGGTTATGTCCATCAGCTATGTAAGACAATTTATAAAATTAAATTTTTGAAAAAAAAAAAAAAAATAAGTAATATGTTTTAATATAAATACTTTTTCGGTTTTTCTTTAATATAAAAATTTACTTTAAATAACAGTTGAATTAAAAAATATACTGTTTTGTTAAAGGAAACACTTTCAAAGTGCTTTGGCATATATTCGTACACCTCCAGCTGTAATTTTGATGAAAGATATATTACGGGAAGGTTCTATTGGAGAAAGTATATCAAAAGAGTGGTTAATAGCAATTGCCATGTTTGACAGGTAGTTAATTGATAATTTATTTGGTACATTTTATCATTATACGATTTATATTAGGCCTGATATTCAAGTGGTTCATGAAATATCTCAATTAATTTACGAAAAAAATGTATCACCTAACACGTTGCTCAGTATCACATCTCTTATTCACACTTACTGTAGAAAAAACTCCGATTGCACAGAAGATATAAAACTTTTAAGTAACGTGGCTTTTATCGAAGAAAAAATCAAGCAGAATGTATTTATTCATAATAATCGACAAGAAGTAAGTAACTCTTTAAAGTTAATTTTTTTTATTAATATATCACTCAATTTAGCTAAATTAAATACCAAGTTTATTGTACTACATATTATTTTTGCAAGGCATTAGTTTGGATGAAAAGTTTAGGAAATATGGGATTAATGTCTGTAAATACGATTAATACACTCAATTCTGTAATCATGAATGATGATGTAGCATCAGAAATTCGAGTTTCTGGTGTTAAAGCGTTTAGGTGAGTAAATATGATACATTTATAACTTTTTATAATAAAAATATTATATTTTTAGACGATTTCCATGTAATACCACAAGGCCCACAATGTTAAATAATTATCTTAACCAATCTTTAGACTCAGAAGTACGCATTGCCGCTTATTTACAAGTTATGCGGTGTCCTATTTACAGTGTAGTAAGACATATTGTAGCAGCATTGGACACAGAAGAAGTTAACCAAGGTTCATATATTTAATGTTGTAGCAATATCAAATAAGATTTATATTATTATATTTTTGCTTTCAGTTGGTTCATTTGTTTACACTCATTTAAAGAATTTAAAAAAATCATCTATTCCCTACAATTTAGAAATACAAACAATGCTATCTGGCGATATTTCGAAAAAGTTTAAAACAGATATACGGAAGTTTTCAAGGAATTATGAATTATCCTTTTTACTAAGTGAATATGGAGTTGGTATGTTTACGTGTATTTCATTTTAGTTTGGAATAATAATATTATGTTTCCCAAACTAATATAGGTGTGTCAATTGACAGCAATGTTATATTTTCACCAAAATCATATATTCCTCGATCAATTACATCAAACCTGACACTAAGTTTATTTGGTGAATACATTAATGTGATAGATGTAAATAATTTATTTTAAATAACATCATTAATTTAATCTTTAAAAATGTTGATATTAATATTAATTTTTGTATTGATAGGTAGAAGTTTATGGTGAGGGCTTAGAATTTTATTTGGAAGCATTATTCAAACCAGGTGGAGTATTTAGTGCAGAACAAGTCAAGAAAGGATTAGATATGTTGCGTGTTGTACGGAGTATTTTACCGGAGACTCTAAGAGATAGAATAAATGCTCTGCCTAATATTTTATCTGAAAATATACCACCACCAAAGGTTTGATTATATAACATAAACCTATATATATATATATATGTATAAGTATTTATTTTTGTTTTATTCGCATAATAAAAACTAAGATTAATTCTACTTCCTTTATATGTTTTACATAAAAATATATTTTATAGATTTCTATGGCATTTAAATTGTTTGGTAATGAAATCAAGTTCTTGCGATTAAATGGAGTCGATGAAATTAATGAAGCTATCAAATCATTTGACATTTATAACATTATGAAAAATTTTATGAATGGAAAAGTTAATATAATATTTTAATAAAATTGTATAATCTAAAACTTATTATTTTGTATTATATTATCTGTAGGAATTTAAATATGATCGCTCAGCAATGTTCATGGACCTAAAGTATGTTGTACCTACTGGCATCGGAATGCCGCTTGCTTTAGATGTTGTTGGTACTTCAGTTATTAACTTTAATATGTCAAGTTATATTAATTCTGACGCATTTAAACAGCTTGGTGAATTTAAATTACAAGGAAAATTGCACCCTAGGTATTACTTTTAACTGTTTCAAATGTATTTTAATGTTGTATCATTTATTTTTAAATTAACCTCTTTGCTTTGTGCTTTAGTTTGGCTTTGAATTTAGAAGGATCGATGACTATGGATCTCCACTATGAAACGACTCAAGCTAAAGTTAAATCTAAATTGTTTTCTTCGACGGCTTTAGAAGGAACAACTGAAATAAAAGGTTATAAATTTGTCTCTTTAGTATTCAATTTACCAAAAACGAGATCAGATATCATCAGCATAGAGTGAGTAATTAAATATTTAATAAAACGTGAATTTAATTCAACTTTTTTTTAGATCGGAGTTATACTTGGAAAATCATAAATTAGAAATTGATCTGCCAACTTTTCAAAAAAATGCTGTAAATGTAACTGCATTACCTTACAGTCTACCTATTTTAGAGGAAATGATGGGACTTAAACTTTATACTAATTATCGAATTCCTAATATTACTGAAATTATCAAGTCACCTATGATTATATTTAATGGTCCTCTAAGATTGAGTGTTTTTCTACAAAAATCTGATACGAAAGTTAATAAATACATTTTAGAATACAAATGGTTAACTAGTAAAGTAGGTGTTTGCTTAATTTCAAAATATTTTTAATTATAAATTATTATTATTTTAGAAAAATTCAACTATTAGCGTCGAATATCAGACACCTGGATCGGAAATAAAACATTATATGAAAGCACTCATAGAAATGGATTCACAAACTCAAAATTTCACTCTATTAGTCGAGGGCAGAACTATTAATTTACAATCATTAGGTATTAAAATAATAATTTTTTTCTTGTTTTTCTTAATTTAAAACTATTTATTAAAAAATTGTTATTAAAGGTCAATATAAAAATTCCCCGATGCATAAATTAATTACATTCTCATTAGACATAAATAATTTTAAACATATTGATTTCCTAACGGAACTCATAATTCAAAACGAAAAATATGGTCGTCGTTACTTACCTAAAGCTTATTTAGATATAAATGGTAAAAGAATCGCCGAAATTGAGGGTTAGTACTCACATGTGAATCAATAAAAAGTGATCACTTTAAATTAACAAAATAATTTTTTTCTTTAGGTCAATATGAATGGGTTGAAAAAAAAGGAATATCTCAATGTGATATTAATTTAACATTTAAAACAGCCAGATTAGATTCTACAATAGTAGGTTATATCAAGATTAGCGATGCGTCTACTGCACTTAATTTACTTTTTGAATATACATTTGATCAATCAATAAATCCCGAAACAGTTAAATTGGAAGTTAAAATTAGTGAGCGATCGACAAAAGCATTATCATCAATTCAAGGAAATATGCAACTAGAATCTTCAGCATATCCTCACATCAATCATATTATTTCAACTACATACCAAGTAAGAGAGTTTTATTTAAATTTTAAAGAATTTTTAAAAAACTTGAGCTTTTAAATTTAAAAGAGCAATTATAATTTGAGACCTTTTAAAGAGATTGGTTTAAAGGGATTATAATGCTATAATTTTTGAAGTCATACTTCTATACAAAGAGTCCGAAAAATAAAGATTGTCGCGTATCTTGGTCGGCATTACAGTCATCCGTCACGTTCGGCTGTAACGTTTGGCTGTCACGGACGGATTCTATTGTTTTATTAGGTATGCGGTCAAAATTCTATTTTTTCGCGAATATAAACGTTTGTTAAACGAATTTTATTGTCTATTAGGTATATTAGGTATATTAAAATGTTATTGTTCCATGAACGTATATATTTAATAAATATATATTTGATAAACGTAAGCGTTTAGGTTCTATGATTGTTTGAAATTTATTGTAGTAATATAATTAAATATTTTGAAGTTTAGATTCATACAACTTGATTTTTAATATTAAAATATTTATTTTAATTATAAATTACTTTTTAATAACAATAATTTATTGCTAATACATATAAATTTATAATTTGTTAATTAAATACACTGCGAGTTTTAAAAAATTACAAAAAATTAATTAAACAAATTCTAAAAATTTTTATTTAATAACAAATGCACAGTACTTTAATTTTCAGAAATTCTATACATTTTATATTATTACTTAATATTAATGAAAATATAAAATATAATGTACTTTTTATTAATAATAAAATAAATGAATTGTAAATAATAAATATTTAATAAAAAATAATGATTAAATAATTTTATTATATTATATTATGTATAAATAATGAAATTTAAAGGTATTATATTTATTTGTATTAATAAAAAAAAAAGATCAGATTTACATCTATCTATTTCCCGAATTTATCATGTTACAAAAGGTCCGTTTTATATAAGTAAGGGGGTCAAAGATAGTTCTTTGTTAGACAAATGATGGACAGAAAAGGTATTCAGAATGACTTACATCAGAGAGCAGACACTGCCAATGAAAAAATTACAAGAAAAATCTCGCTGATACCCTGGGGATCGACCCAGGACTCCGTGCGCCGAACACATAAGTTTCTACCCACTAAACCAGGCTATCCCTTACGTAAATTTATATAAATAATTAAATAAATATAATATAAATAAATGTAATATCTATAAATTTTATTAATAATGTATATTAATGTAAATAATACAACTTTACACCTCTCCTATAGGCTAGGACGTGATTGGAGAGGTGGAGAGTTTAAGCATTCAGGGTCAGTTGTGCAAAAGAGTGGTGTTATTGACGAGGATGTAAGACACAGAATTAAGTGCGGGTGGTTAAAGTGGAGAGAAACGTCTGGTGTGTTATGCGATAAGAGAATTCCAATGAGGCTGAAAGGTAAATTCTACAAGACTGTAATGAGACCATCTATGATGTATGGTTCAGAGTGTTGGGCAGTTAATAAGAAAGTAGAGCAGAGAATGAGTGTAGCAGAGATGAGAATGTTTAGATGGATGAGTGGAGTGACCAGAAAAAATAGGATTAGGAACGAGCATATAAGGAGTATAGGTAAAGCGTGAATAGTAGATAAGATGAGAGAAAATAGAATTAGTTGATTTAATCATGTTATGAAGGAGTGGAATCGGAAAATGTAAGAACAGTTATGGAAATGAATTTTTAAGTAAAAAGAAATAGAGGAAAAAAAGAGATGGAGGGATGTAATTGAATGTATTGAAAAGTATTGAAAAGGAAAAAAGCTAACATTTGTTATGTGCAGGAAACTGATTGAAAGGAAGAGAAAGCAAAGAAAATAGATGAAGGTTATAAAATAATACTCAGGTAAGATCAAAACAAAAAATAGTGTGAAGATAATAATGGATGAGGAGATAAAAATTAAAGTAGTAGAAGTAGTTAGGAAAAGTGACAAAATAATAGTCATAAAATTAATCTTCAAGGAAAAAGTTTTGAATATATTAGGTACCCCAAATAGGATGTGATGAAATAGACAAAGAAGTGTTTCGGTGAAATATGAATATATTATAGTATAGGGTAAAAAAGAAAAAGCTGTATATGGTATTTATAGATTTGGAGAAAGCATATAATAGAGTACCGAAAGGGATGATGGATATAATTACTAGAGAAATACAAGGAGAGTTGCTGTGATGTTCGCTGACGATATAGTGTTAATATAAGAAAATAGAATTAGTTGATTTGATCATGTTATGAGGAGAGTGGATTCGGAAGATGTAAGAACAGTTATGGAAATAAATTTTTAAGTAAAAAGAAGTAGAGGAAGACCAAAAAAGAGATGGAGGGATGTAATTGAATGCGATATGAGAACGGCTTTTCAGTGTGTATATGATGAATGAAGATCATGTCAAGTAGATGTTTAGGATAAGGTTTATTATATATTAGGCCGACTCCAATAGTTGGGATTAAGGCTAGGAAAAAGAAGAAGATATTAATGTGAATAAAAATATATTTTAATACATAATATTATCTATTCAGAGTGATTAGTTTATAATAAACCGTACAATTACTTGCAAAATACATACAATATTGGGAAAAAAATTGTTTTCTTTAGTTACATATAATTTTTCATTTATCAGCTAATAATTACTTTTAGGATAATCCCTTATAATTTATATAGATGTCATTTATATAGATTTTAGACACTATGCAAAGCTGAGAAGATAATAATTTTGTTATGATGTGTTTTTTATTTTTAATTGGTAACATACATATTTAATTAACTTATAAAATAGAAAATTATCTAATTAGTCTGATTCGATAATAACTTTTCTGGACCAGTGTTTTGGATGTTATTCTCATTTTTATACTTAGGCAGGACAAGAGTACGGTCGGGAAATAACTATTGATAAAAATAGCAGCACCTACTCCTCACCACTATTCATTGCTTTGAATTGTTAAGAACTTCTAAAATACTGGTCCCAGAGTTGTTATCGACTGGTCATTTTCTTAATTAGATTATTTCCTAATTCATAGGCTAGTTTGTTATGTGTGTTACTTACTATTAAAAAAAAATAAAGTTCACATACCTTTAAGTTTTGGGATAATTCTAAAAAGTAATTATTAGCTAATAAATCAAGAATTATATATAACTAAAAGAAACTATTTTTAAAATTTAATCAAATTTCATTTTCCAATATTGTATTTATTTTGTGAGTAATTGAGTAGTTTATGACAAACTGATCACCCTCTATATACTATTATTAATAAATAATAATTGTAACTAATATAGTATATTTTATAATATAATTTAACATCGTATCATCGAAAGTTAAAATGCATTAAATAACTTTGATTGAGCATAAAATTAAAAAAAAAATAAAAATGAATGCAATTTTCACACGATATCTTCATAACGTCTTATTAAGTTATTTCAGTTATCATAAACCCATTATATCATTCATGGCAATAGAATATGAAAATTAATAATAATAAATTAAAATAACTTCAATTGAAAATAAAATTTTTAGGTGTATTTTTTTATTTTATTCCAATACAAAACTAATATTCTATCAGTTGAATAACTCTAAAAGAAGTTATACTTCATCCGCGCGTACTCATAACACCCATTGTTTTTTTTAAATTATCTTTTGTTTACATATAAATTGATAAAACTCATTACTTTGTAAGGTTAATAGAAAAATTAAGTAATACAATATGTCTAAGACCTAATTGACAACGCATATAATTTTTGATACAATCATAATTTTGTTGAAATTAGTTTTTTAAATAATTATTGCATCCTCAAACTACGTTTAAAGTATATTTTTTATTTTATCACTAATAAATAAAAAACAAAAACTAAAAAAATTCCATTTTTAATTATCATTTTTTAGTTCTGTTTTTTATAAAAAATGTTGACTATTTTATATTAATTTTAGAACAAATACTCTTGAAGTTATAAGCCTTTTAATTAATAGAGTAGGTATGGTTTTAAAATTCTTTATTAAAAAGGGATTGAAAATTTTATAAATGGAATTTTTTAGTTTTGTTTTTTTTATTTATTACTGATAAGTAAAAAAAATTTAATTTAAACGTAGTTTGACACTGCAATTTCTATTTAAGATTTGAGACATACTGTAAATAAATTTACAACATTTTTTTTTTAATAAAACTAGAAAGCTCAAGGACATACGGAGTTTCGCGTTGACTTCGTTAACTATCCGTACCTCGAAGACAACAACAAAAAATTACACGTTGAATTTGGAGTTGCCCAAATTAAGTACTACTCTGGTAGTAAAATTAACTTGAACTTGTTCATTACAAAACCGTCAGAAAAGATTATGTTTAAATTTATAACAAATTATGCGAGCACACAAACTACGTCTAATACAGCTGTATTAATTCAATACGCTCCTGGTATACCTATAATATATATATATATATAATTCTATAATAATTTAGAATTATATTTTAAAAACTATTATTGTTTTTTCTTATAGATAAAAATGTTACAATAAAATTAGACGTTCTTACGCCTCAGAGTTTGTTACTTAATGTTGATGGTCGACTACGAATAACTACACCGTCAGCAAAGCAGCCGTTAGATGTTCACGTTGTTGTTAAAGAAAAAGTTGCTAACGAATATGATGTAAGTATCTGAATGAACTATAAAAGTAATTCATCGTATGATGTGAAAGAAATTTTATTTTTCTCTTTAAGATTGATTTTGAAGGTACTTGGTTTAGTGGACAGAATTTAAACGCCCGAGGGCTTTATCAGGATCATTCATTTTATTATTTGACAAGTCATACACTTAAACTTTTGATACAGTCTCATATGTTTAATGACATAGTATTTATGGGTAAACTTTACGTATCTGACGAAGAGTACAGAATTGAATCATGGGTAAAAACTTTTATTTTACAGATTGCACAAAAAAAAAAATAAAAGATTTATATGGTTTTATTTGCTAGGTGGATCATAATAATACAAAACATGCAATTTTATTGAGACACATTGCGCATTCAGACACGCTATATGAATCCTTAGGAGAATTAAAACTGAATACTAGTATTTATTCATTAAGTAATATAATAGATTTGGCACAACATGAATTAACACTTGACATACATCTAGACCAGTAATTATCATATAGATGTTATTTCCATTTTATTCATAGACTCTAAAAATCATTAATTTATATTTTAGATATAGAGATGTATCAATCTATGGAAAAGGGTTTGCAAAAGAATGGAATTCTCATGTAGTCTTTGATATAAAATGGGATGCCAATAGAGATCCAGATCAAAAGTTGTATGTCACATTTATAACCAATACTAGCGATATAATAGACGGTGAAAGATTTTACGGTCTTACTATTGTCGAATACCCTGGTCGGATAATTAAAACTGATCTAGAATTGAAATATATTGGTATGAAAACTAAACTATTTAATTTATTCTCATTGTATCTTTAAAGTATAAGTTATCTAATAACATTCATTAGGTCAACATTATTATGTTCTGAGTTCTTTTGAATGGAATCCAACGTCAAAAATAGATTTTTCATTTTTACTTGAAAATGATTTGCTTTCAAAAGGTAACGGATATATAGGATGTAAATTGTTAACGCCTTTTGATAACTGGACGAGAACTATGTATGAACAAAGGTACTCAACATTTGTTTTTATTAATCTCTGGATATGTTGTTGCATAATGTATTAGAAAATAAATGTATAAAATTAGAAAATATATCAAGCACTTTAAAAATTTTTTTTTTGTTATTTAGAATCATTATTGGTCCCCAAAATTTGCACACTAACGGTAGTGCGGTGTGGCAAGGGACACAGTACTTAAATTTTGATGTTCAATCAGGTTATTATACTTTAGAAGATGATTTTGGTTTTTCATTTAATACGGCTGTAAAAAGTTCTTTAAAAGATTTGAATGCCATTCGTGTTTACATCAACCATAATTATGGAACAAACAGCTTCAATACGAGTATCTCATTGCAGGTGTATATGATTTTATAAAGTTTATGTGTACCAATTTTATTTGTATTACCTCTTTCAGATTAATCCAAAATACGTAATATCATTATCTATAATGGGTAAAATTAATACTACGAAAACCGAAACTATTTACAGTGGATATATAAGTACCTTAACGCCTTTTTTTTACTATAAAATGTTCAATTTTGAAACTCAAGTTGGTTTTCAAGAAAAAAAACTCAAAGGTATCATGAGATTACAAATAGACGAGAGTAACTTTACAGCCGAGTTTCATGGTAAATATACTAAAAAATCATATTTAAAACATTTAATGAATACCAAACCTCTACGTTTTTAAGGTGTATATAAGCCTCTAGACAACAGTAAAATATTACTTAGACTAATCACACCTTATGAAAATTATAAAGTTTTATATGGAAAATTTGGTTATAAATCAAGAGATAAACATTTGTTTTTTAACATTTATGGAGAAAAATTGAAGTTAGGAGGTGAATTGTTATACAATTATAAAAACTTATCATACTATAATATAAAATTGCAAATAAACACTCCCGTCGATCCCCTAAAGCAATTATTGATTACCGGAAAACTCAATAGTGAATTTGTAAGATTTAACATAAAAATTTGATGCATTATGAATATATTTCATTAACTATTTTCTAAATAGGTGGATTATCGAGTTGGATGGAATCATTTCTTGCTAGGATTTACTGGTGTATCACATTACGAAAGTTGGTCAGATTTAGAATATGGATTGAAAATCTTCACTCCTCTAGAAAATTTCAACTATAGCAGCGCCACAGTAAAAGTTTACATAATTGATGACATTGATTGCAAAATTATGGCGGTTTTACCGGATTATTCCAAGGTAAGTACATTATAATATATATATTATACTATGATTTTAACGCAAGTACAATTGATATGTGTTTCTACAGTACTTATTTAATAATTTACAAAATTTGACAATAAAAAGTAATGATTTAAATTTTAACAATTTAAATTGAATATTAAAACAATATTAATACGAGCCTTAAAATTATATGATATATTATTTCAATTACACCATTCAAAAGAATTGTGAATCTTCCTCTTTTTTCTCAACTTTATCCCAACTATTCAGAGTAGCCACTATTATCCTAAACATACACTTGACATGATCTTCATTCATCATATACACACTGAAAAGCCGTTCTCATATCGCATTCAATTACATCCCTCTATCTCTTTTTTTCCTCTATTTCTTTTTACTTAAAAATTCATCTCCATAACTGTTCTTACATCTTCCGATTCCACTCTCCTCATAACATGATCAAATCAACTAATTCTATTTTCTTATATTAACACTATATCGTCAACGAACACCACAGCAACTCTCCTTGTATTTCTCTAGTTCTTTTATCCATCATCCCTTTCGGTTAGGCTGGTCCTTATTTTTCAACTTTATAATAAATTGTGCGGCACCCCCTAATTTTGTTTATTTTTAGATAATAATGATTTTTGTTGAGTTTCGTAAGATTTACTTACCCCCTTCGGGTGCCGAATGAGGGTTGAAAATCCACTAAATAGGGTGGTTTTTTAGTTTTCGTCTAATATCTCAACAACAAAAGCTCAAAACGAAAAATTGTATAGAACANACAACAAAAGCTCAAAGCGAAAAATTGTATAGAATAAAAATTATAGACCTTAATATTTTCTATATAAATTGTATCTTTGCAAATTCTCGTAGGTTGATTTTTTTCCTCGCCAGGACAAAAACAAAAAAATATTTGAATAGTTCGGTACATCAAACAATTATAAAAGTATTTACGTTTACAGGGACAACTGATTATAATATATTCAAAATAAATTATAAAAAGATTATAAAATATACTCTATAATATAAGTTAAAAAAAATGCATTTTATAAATTAGCACACTAAGGTGTCAATGAAAGTACTAGTATTTCTTTACATAATTGACATTTAAACATGTTGTGAATATCTAGTTTATTTATTGCTGAAATTTTCCAATTTTTTGTCACTAAGCAAGATTATTGTGTTCATTGTTGCACTTTAGACCTTTTACATTATTTGATAATGATCACAATAACTGGAAAATTTTGATAAGTTTGGCTACTTTAGTAATACGATCAATTTATTATCTAATCATTCGCCACTTTTATTTACAACTTGTTTTTTTTACTCGTTTGTTCCGCGGTTCATGCGTTTTGGTATTGTTTAGTGTTTTTTATTTATTCATTTATTCAGCTTAATTAATTTTTTTGAGATATTTGAAAATGACGCGAGAATTTATTTATTTAATTGGCCCAACTAATATTCAAATTCTTGGCAGCAAATTACCCTCCATAGGTGACATAACCCAACCCAACCGAAAGTTTCGGTACTCTATTATATGCTTTCTCCAAATCTATAAATACCATATACAGCTTTTTCTTTTTTACCCTATACTATAATATATTCATATTTCACCGAAACACTTCTTTGTCTATTTCATCACATCCTATTTGGGGTACCTAATATATTCAAAACTTTTTCCTTGAAGATTAATTTTATGACTATTATTTTGTCACTTTTCCTAACTACTTCTACTACTTTAATTTTTATCTCCTCATCCATTATTATCTTCACACTATTTTTTGTTTTGATCTTACCTGAGTATTATTTTATAACCTTCATCTATTTTCTTTGCTTTCTCTTCCTTTCAATCAGTTTCCTGCACACAACAAATGTTAGCTTTTCTCCTTTTCAATACTTTTACTAATTTTCTACTTCTATCAGTTAATGTTCCAACATTCTACGTTCCTATTATTACTTTATATCCATCTTTCTCTCTTAAACATGAGTCCAGTTTAGAATTGAATGATGATGTCCTTACACTGTTGACACTACAAGTGTTAGGTAGTCCTGTAGCTAGCACATAAGCTGTCCGGCTGGTATCAAACACATTATTCTTTAATTTTTCTTCGTCTCTAACTACTTTATTTCCTCCCACTTGTTGTTCTCGCATGTATCCGAGATGAGACTATCTGCCTAAGTCTGTTCTAGACTCCTCATACTTTGACAAAACTTTACACCGGCTGCCGACCTGACGCAACCTCATTAGTTGCATCTTACGACTGGCAGAGAGGCTGTGGAAGTATTTTTATCCCCTATCCACATATAATTAAAAACAAAAATCCTCGTCATTTTTATAGTTTATGTTTAAACACTTTGATGCTGTATACTTTTTGTTGTAAAAAGTTTTTAGGATATTTTGAAGAACAATTACTTCTATGTAAACTTTCAGATTTAAGATTAAATCAAAATATATATTACAATTTATTTTGAAATATATGCTTTTTTTAACGTCCATTTTTTCTAAATCTAATTATTATTTTACTTACATCTTATAATATTACTTATATTAATCTATTAATTTTATTAAGCGTAATACTTCTAAGTATAACTTAATGTTCTAATAAAAATTATTTCAGTTACGGCTTTTTCAAAAAACTTGAAAAAATAATTTTCTTACATCTTAATTAAAATTAATTTTTTTTAGTTAAATTAATTATTTTTATCCCACACAGTATCATACATATTTTTACTAATTAATTGTTATAAATGGACTCATCAAACTGTAATTTTTATTTTAGATTGGAATGAAACTTCTTTATGAAACTATACCAAAACAAGATGAAATAAATGAGTACTACTACGACGAAGACGAAGAAATGCCAATTGTTTTATACAAAGCACTGTTAGAAATTGATACAGCGTATTACCCGTCTGTAATGGCTCATTGTAAAGTGTCACAATACGATATCAAGTATACAACACAAGTAGGCTTGTCAGCAATTATTATCAACGTGTCACTGACTGATGAACTTTACTTGAAAGTAATTTTTTTTTTTTTAATCTAATTTTTTCTCATTTTTGTTAAAAATTTTTAAAATACAAGTATATTTTAATGGTATTCTTTTATTTATTTTATTAAATAATAAATTTAGAATCAAATTATTAGTATTCATAACTTTTAATAAATTTGTAAATGATATTATAGTGTGTTTTTAATATAATTTTGTAGAATTTCATGGATGTTAAAAATGAACTCTACATAAATACATCATATGAACGATTTTCAAACGTATTTTCTGAATTTTCTATATTTGCTGAAAATGAAAATCACATAGCATCTAATTCTATAGTCTCAATAGTCAATTTCAATAAAATTTTGAAGGTAATTGTTTAAGTATAATAAATATTGTTTTAACTAAGTTTCACATAAGAAACTTATTAATAATTTTTTTGTTATTACTATATGAAGACAACTTTAGAAGTGGATTTTTTCATGACGTCTTTGTCCGATCCTGATACGGAAGTTTCAGATGATCCAGATGCACCGAGTAACTTACCTTCTGGTACATATATGACTCAAATTTATTTGACTTCTCCATTCAAATTATTAGAGTTTTGTAACTCTACCATAATTGTTAAAATATTAAAACAGTTTTACGAAACTAATATAACAGTGAAAACCAACTATACCAATTTGCACTTAATAGGAAATATGGAGGTAATTTTCTTAAATTGTTAAATAAAAATATATTTCTAATAAAGATATATAAGTTTTATTAATTTTTTTTTTCAAATTCAATTATTGGCTATTAATTTATAATTTATTCATATCTGTATTATGATAGATTTTTAGATAAGTTTATAAAATTTATTCTCAGGTTTATGAAGGATATTTTGATACTGAATTAGACGTGGATATTACTTCCAAGCTCTTTGATCTTCCAGTATTCCGAGTGCGCGTCAAAAAAGACTACACTGAAATCGAAAAAAAAGTTGAATTTTTGATAAGTAGACCAAATAGTTTTTACGTGAGTATAAAAAATAGAATATTATAATTACATATTAAATTAATTTTTTTTTTAATAGATAAACGAAATTGTATTTGACATCAAAAGTTCATGGCACATAGATGGTTACAACTTCATAAAATTAAACGGTGAAATCACTACACCCTTTGCTGTACTTAGTCATGTCCAAGGAAATCTACAATACTTCCATCAAGTTAACTCGAAAACTTACTTTTTGGAATCATATTTAAACTATTCTAGAAAAGCTGAAATGAAAGCAAGAGCTCAGCTTAAAGAAGATTCTGTTACACTTAATCTTGAATCGTCTCTTGAAGGTCTTAAGTAAGATTTTCAATGTCATACAATTATTTAGTATTTATTAGAACATCTAAAAATTAATGTATAATATAAAACTAAAATTTTTTAGAAACGTACATTTTTTGGGTGTATTGATCAATAAAAATGGTCGAAGGTCAATTGAAGCTAGTATGTTTGGAGATCAAACTTATAGAATAAGTGGTTGGGCGTCCGCCAATCATTCGTGTCCATTAGCTGTAAATTTCATTATTATTTCTTAAAAAAAAATCTTTATACTTATAATTTAATGATACATTAATATTACATTTTATTTAGCTTGAGGCTCACTTAACCAAAGAAGAAAAGGCCGTTGGTAGTATATTAATGGAAGTTCAGCAAAATTCTGATGGTTATAAAATTCTAGCAATGTTGCAATCGATAAAGAAGATAATTCGCTTTAATACCCTTATTGTTTCCACAAATAAAGGAAATATGGCTACTGTAGAGGTATATGCATTACATGTTTTTAAATTTTTTACCTAATCACATGAAGTATTATTAATATTCTATTATTATTAATATTCTGTGCTTTAAATAAATAAAAATAATTTTGTTTTTTACAGAACTTAAATTAACATTATAAAATATATTTATTACTTATATTAGATAGCATCGTTACAAGATACATCAGAAGCAATGTTTGTAAAAAGTTCTTTAGTATTCAAAAGGCCTGGTATATACGTTGTCAATGTTCAAGGTGAATCCATAATAGATGGTATATCAACGTTATTGTTGGGAGATGTAAAGCTCTGGTAAATCATAAAAAAAAATATTGTTTATCATATGTTTGATATTAATTTAACACCTTACAATAAAATAAAAAAACAGGTTCATAGGTGATAAAGGAGTAATTAGGAGTTCTATGAATTCGAGATATTTGCAAGGACACTTTAACATCGACTGGGTGCTATCTCTACCTCATCAAATTTGGGGGATTGTTGATGTTGAGTATACTTTAAACAGAATGTCATTCCAAAAACTATTCACACAAATGTATTTTGTTGCACCTGAAAATAGTATAAGTCAATTGACTTTTGGAGCTCGTGTTGTAGCTAACAACAAATGGACGTATGGAACTTACTGTTTTTGTACTTTCTGTAAAATTTTAATTAATTACTTTTTTATATAGATTTCAAACTAATTCAACAGCCATGATACCATCATTACGAAACATATCATTTGCAACTAATTTAATATTACCACAAAATGTTACAAATAAGTATTCAATTGTCGGGAATTTAAGGCTAGAAAACCAATTTGAATACATTTCTCATCTCTTTCATTACCGAGCTCCAGATGTGAACTATGAGTTTGCTACTTTCAGTGAGGTTAGTATTTTTTTTATAGAAAAATACAAAAAAATACTTTTAGTTTTTTATTTAGAAAACTATATACGGTACAATAGGATACGATAAAAAGGTTTTATACTATAGAAATAAGTTTGTCAAAAAAAAAAAATATATATATATAATAATAAACAGTAACAATTTTTTTACATATATTTTCGAATTCGAAAAAAGGAACAATCGAGATATTTATCTAATAGGCTTTCGATAATCTATTTAGTTTTTACTCTTTAAAAATTACTCCTCAGTGTCATTTTTAAGAAAAGGATGCAACTCCTAAATTATCAGAAATTTGAGATGGTGTTTTCAAAAAGTCCCTTTCATCGTAGACATCTTTTTTCAACCACTTATGAATTTTTGTATATCTAATTTTAAAATATTTAATAAATCAAATCAACTCAACATAGAAAAAAACTAACACTTCAATATTAATAACATAACGTGCGATGTAAGCAATGAAAATTGTTATCGCTTTATATCCGGTTAAAACCTATGATGTGTGTATATGGGGCCTCATATACACACATCAAACCTATCTGTTATTCTTTTCAGAAAAACACTTGTCAAAACTAAAGGATTTTGATTATTTATAAATAAACTGTGCCTGATATATTATACTGTTTCATAAATTACGTAAGGCGTAAATTAAGGCTGCTATTATATGGTTATCAATTGCTTTATAATATTATTATAATTACCTACAAGTGACTATGCATATCATAAAATTTACGAGGAACATTAAATTAAAGAAGTCCACTGAATTTTCTCAATTAATCATGATACGATCATATAAGGAGTGTTCAGTAAGTAAGGAAACGGATTTCTATTGTTCATAACAATTGACCTGTTTCCTTACTTACTTAATGAATACTTTGTATCACTGATCATAAAAATCGTCTAGCCTATTCGATCCTGCTTACCCGAATATAACTTTTATTTAAGTTTAAAGATTACGGTATTAAAAATAACCTCAGTTTACATTAAACTATTATTGAGCATCTTGTTAATATATATATTTTTTTTAATTTCGGTCCTATATAGGTTTAAAGAAAAAATTGTAAATTGTAATGCAAATTGGTTCATATCGATGCTCATTACTAATTTAAAAAAAAAAGATTTTCTTGAATACTTAAAATTTAAGGATTCTGAATTAAATTATCTGAATAATTTATTGTAGTATCTGTAATGAAAAATTATATTAGGCCTGTTATCATTTTTATTATCTATTATACAGAGTCTATATAATTGGTACATGAGTTGTTTAGCATAGTTAAAAATTTATCGGATTAATGTGTTTTGAGTGGATTACTTGTCATTGAATAGTGTCAAATACAAACATTCTAGTCCTTATTAAACGTTCGGTTTATGTATTTAAAATTTTTTTTCAGATTCACTGGGACGAAAAAATTAACGGATTAATGTCTTGGGCTTATAGAACTGAAAATCGAGTATTTTTAATCGATACTTTTAATGGTGTCACTAAAGACAAGTTTTATGACGTAGAGAACGTATTCGACGCTAGCTTCCTAAATCATAAACATGTTTCCAAATTAGTTTATCAAAAACCAAGTAAACAGCATAAAATAAAGTAAGTTGTTTCAATTAAGTTTTCCAAGTGATTTTTTGTGAGTTGTAAACACAGCTAAAATTTCTTAGAGATGACAATATTGACGTATGTTAACAAAATATACATCGACCACAATATTAAAAATCATTTCAAATAAAAATTTCAAAGTAAGAATAGATACTTGGAATGTTGGAACATTAACTGGTAGAAATAGAGAATTAGTAAAAATATTGAAGAGGAGAAAAGTTTATATTTGTTGTGTGCAGGAAACTAAGTGGAGAAAGAATCTTTGATTTCATAGTATCGTATGATCTTGTTATGGTTATTACTTATTTTAGAAAGAGGAAAGAACATTATATAACTTATAAGAGTGGAAGGAATAGATCACAGATTGATTATTTTATGTGGAAGAGAGAGAGTGTAAAGCGAGTAAAATATTGTAAAGTAATACCAGGCGATAGTGTAACTACACAACATAGACTGATGGTAATGGAGTTTTGATTTACCGGAAAAAAAATAAACAAAAATAGAAGAAGCACAGGGGGAAAATCTAAGATCCAGAGGTGGAAATTGAAAGTGGAAAATGAAAAAGAGTTTGTATAGACGGTAAAAGAGAGAACGGTGTGAATGTCGAAGGAGACATAAATGATGTGTGGAATAGATTTGCTAGTTGCTTAAAGAATACTGCAAAGGAGATTGTTGATGAGAGTAAGAGTAGAATGTAATGAAACCTGGTGGCTGGATGAAGACGTTCAAAAAATCATAGAATATAAGAAAGAGAAATTAAAATATGGTAGAAGAGCAAAAGGAGAGAAGATTGGATGAAGTATAAACGCTTGTGCAAAGAAGCTAAGTATGCAGTAAGTAAGGCGAAGTTTAAGAGGTATGATGAATTGTATGACAGGCTAGGAACAAAGGAAGGCGAGAAAGAAATCTATAGACTTGTAAAGATAAAAGAGAAAATGTCTAAAGATTATCATTATACAAGGTGTATAAAAAGTGTTGATAATAAAGTACTCTCGAGTGATGGCGATGTGAAAAAAAGGTAGAAAGAGTATTTTGAAAAATTATTGAATGAGGAGTACCCAAAAGAGACATTAGAGGATATCTTGTGGAATGAAGGACTGGTAGATTTAATTAGTGAAAAATAGGTATGGGAGGCTGTGGCATCAATGAAAACGAATAAAGTAGTAGGACCAAATAAAGTGCCACTAGAAGTATGGAAAATATTAGGCGGTGTTGGCATAAGTTGGTTGAAGGAACTTTTAAATAATATCTTATTAGAAGGGAAAATACCAAATTAATAGAGGAATAGTTTTGTGGTGCCGATATTTAAAGGTAAAGGTGACATACAGAAGTGTGGAAATTATATACGCATAATGATTTTGAGTCATAGTATGAAAATTTGGGAAAAGCCAATATATAAGAGAATAAGAAATGAGACATTGGTATCTAAAATCCAGTTTGGATTTATGCCTGGTAAGTCAACAATGAAGTCAGTATTTTTTGTGAGGTAACTAATAGAAAAGTTTAGGGAAAAGAAGAAAAAGCTGTGTATATGGTATTTATATATTTGGAGAAAGTAGGAGGAGTATCACAAGGTTTTCGGGTTAAAGTAGGAGTGCACCAAGATTCTGCTTAGTCTCTATAGTGATGAATGAAATTAATAGAGAAATACAAGGTAGGTGAATTGAGATCTGTGACAATAGGCGAGGACGTGATTGGAGAGGTGGAGAGTTTTAAGTATTTAGGGTCAAGAAGAAAAAGAAGAAGAAGATTTCAAATAATAATTTACATAGAAATACAATATATACTACTTCTATATTTTAGCTTCGATGCGAAGCTAGGAAGGTATTGGTTTTACTATGATGTGTTTTTTTTTTTTTTTGTGTCTGTTACCACTTTTTCTCAGCTCTCACCGAACGGATTTCACTCAACGATACGTCAAAATATCACAAATCGTATCTAGTCGAAGACATTACCCTTCAAAATTGAAAAAATTTCCCTCGTTCCCCGTAAATGGGGGAAACCTCCAAAAAAATTACAAATTTAAAAATCGCTAATTTTCGAAATTTTTTCAATTTTTTTTACTAAAAACTGCCGTAACTTTTTCAAAAATGAACATATGAATATAATTTTTTTTTTATAGATGCTTGATTTCTTTACTTATCATTTGGTATATTTTTTTTGTAAATTTGACCTTTTTTCTTCCCACAGGGGCGGATTTAAAATGACAACTTTTTCACAAAAACTTAACTTTTTCAACTTAACTTTTGAAAATGTTCCGGAAGGTCTGACACTTTTATATATATCTTAAATTAAAGCTAATGTAATGTACTTTAATTTGAAAAAAAAAAATTTGACCTCTGGACTTGTCTTCATGGTGAAAACGGCTACCGAATGCTATTTTTGTGTGAAAATTTTCGATTTTATAATTTACATTTTTTACTTTAAAGTGCTATAACTTTTTAAAAAATGTATGGATCAATACAATTTTTTCATGAGAAGTAGTATTTATATACATCTTTCATTGGATATACTTTTTTTTTAAATCAGACTATTTCCCTATATATGGGGGGGCTTCAAATATAAAAAATGCATATAGAAAGTAGAACTTTTTCAACTTAACTTTTGAAAGTGTTCCGGAAGGTCTGACACTTTTATATATATCTTAAATTAAAGTTAATGTAATATACTTTAATTTGAAAAAAAAAAATTTGACCTCTGGACTTGTTTTCACGGCGAAAACGGCTATCAAA